AAGATTTACAGTATGTGCTAGTATCAGTGAGGCTGGATACTCGCTCAAGGACTCTAGGCCTTTCTTTCAATATAGAGTTTATGAATTACTCTAATTCTGGAAATGAACTGAGGGATTGCAATACCCTACTTACTGTGTTGAATTATGTCAAATAATAAATATGATGTCATTTCAGGTTTTAAATGTCAGAAGGCGTCTAGAAAAGGTTATGGCAAGCAAGTGAGCTTTCTAGAGAAGGGCCACCATTTTGCTGCTATGGTTGCAATGGGTGCATTCTGCGATTCAGGTTTTCAGAAACTTCATCCCAGGATTGGCTCTCTCTAATACGCTGTTCTAGCCACTGTTACATAGCATTTACCTACTCTGTTGAGCAGATCTTCTGCAGAATCAACATGAAGATATACTTTCATATAGTAATGCTGTATAGGCAAATTGATGGTTTCATAATTCCTGATAATGATTTTATAGACCTCCTAAATTGATACAAGTAATTTCAAACCCCTTATAGAATAAAGTCTGCAAATAGAGCTCTGTATACCTTCATGGATCACAGGCTAATTGTACTAGGAAAATGAAGCAGGCTTGGAACAAATTTATATTCCTTCTAAGTTAACAATAAGGCCACTATCTGGTAACTAAAGGTCATAAACAGGGACTAGGCAATTTATTGTATGTAGGTGCAAGGACAGAAAATAAATGACGGACTAGTTTTTCTCTGTAAGACTCCAAATTAATAAGACAAATTAATAAGACAACAAATTAATAAGACAATTAATTAAGCAGATGATTTCTCTCTTGACAAAACTGTACTAACTTATGACATAAACATTATTGTTTTAAATTTATAATAAACTTACGGAGCTAGAGAATAGATATTGAATGTTTAGACTGGTACTAGTCTTAATGGAATGGCATGTAAACAATCCTGCTGAAACTGCTTAAGTCTTATCAAACTATGACATGGAATGTTGCCTTAAACTTACTGTGAACTTTTGGAATGTTAAAGTACTTAGAAAACCATGTTATCAATTATCCTGAGAAGGTATAAAAACTAAGAACTACAATAAAGTATTGGTGTAGCACTTTTCTGCTTCATCCAGTATTACTTTCTTTTCTTCTTTTCTTTTTTCTTTCCTTTTCTTTACTTTATTGTGTTTACTTTTACTGTACTCTATTCTCTGGCTCAGGAAGAGTTAAAGAGGTCCAAGCCTCTCACCTGCCAGAAAGAGGCCTGAGTCAAAGTATACAGAGACCAAGTAACTGAGTTCCTTTTCTTATCCTTGCTGCTACCAGCCGGAGTTAGTTGCCAGAAGTATCAGCTTTTGGGCCCTGAACAGCAAAAGAGGGAGAGTTAAATTGCCAGAAGCCATCAGCTTTCTGATCCTGCCAAAGCCACCCTTGCTGCATTCCCTGGGAACCTGACAGTCAGGGCAGGACCCTGGCACTGACATATTCTTTGCCAATTGGTTTAAGGACCCACTCTATGGTTATTTTTTTTCTAGTTTCTGGCTAGTCAATGAAGACATACATATCCAGCTGGTGGAAGGGTAGTCAAGGGTGTTCCTTATCCACAGGAGGCAGACAATTTGGAAGAAAGCTGTTTGGGATAAGGTATGTTCTGGAGGCAGTCGGCTACAGAAAGAGAGATGCTGAGAACTGTGGGTATTTACTGCTACATACTCTGGGGTACTAATGAAAATGCTTGTTCTGTAGGTATCTGGTGCAGTGACGCTAGGAACCCTGCAGGTGGATCACTCTGGAACTAGAATAGGGAGTCCCTCTTTCATGCCTTATCTCTGCAATGGTCAGTGATGAAATGCTTAACACTGCACCAGTGGTAGAAGGTACAGCTCCATTTATTTTTCTACAGAGTAAGTGATGAAAGGAAATTGAAGCTGAAGCGTAATCAAATGATAATATCCAAAGAAAGGTGTAACGTCAAGTAAGTCAATTATTCACTGCTCCTTTCGGTCAAGGGAGCAACCACTATTACTTCCTCTGTTCAAAACAGATTTTAGTGGGAAAATATATGATTCAACTTTTATCTGATTTTGGACAGTAGGTAGTAAGAAATTGTGCAAGTTATGAAGGAAAGCATAGGATAAAAAGGACTCTGTACAAAATAAAAGCTCTAGAAAAAGTATTTCCCTCCCTGGTCTTTCATAGAAAGACTGAAATGTGTATTCATTAGGGAAGGATATCTAAAGCTGTCAGAGAACAGTTATGGGGAAATGTAAAGTAGAAATTCTCAACTGTAGATCTGGTTAGAGAGTAGAGAAGATTAACCGAACACCCAAAACATCCACCTGAGATGTGAGGAAGACCATACTTTGAGAGTGTGGCTCCTTCAACCCTAAGGCCAAGTCATTCGATATGCTATATACAATTTAGAAAGAAAGAACAAGGGTCCAAGTGACCAGCAAGTAGCCCAAATGCATACTATGCAAAGTCAATACTCTTTAAAGATATATGGAAAAGTCAAACTATTCATACATGAAATAAAACATCTCGAATACTCACTAAAAACCAGTTAAATAGAAAAAAAGCAATGTTAGAGTTATGTTAATAGATGTTAATAATGTTACCTACATCAAGAGGGCAGTTATTCAAAGGAGAAGACACAGAGGTAAGAGATGACAAAGTGATTGGGTTAGGATGTTTGAAATAATTACACTATTGCAAACATGTGCGAGGACTAGAAGACAGGGATGGGATGAGAAGATGAAGGGAAGATCTAAATATAAGCAAATAGAAACTAAAAAAATTTACAATGAAAAATTTCCTGGATAAGATTAACAGCAGCCTAGAAGCCACTGAAGGAAAGTTCACTGAGCTTGATGATCTAGGGATAGAAGTGACCTTAACAGGGGAAACGACAAATAAACTATTGAAAACAATACATTGGAGCTGAGAGTGTGGCTCAGTTAGATTGCTAAGCATTCACGAATCCGTGGGTACAATCTCAAGTGCTTCATCCATGAGTGTGGCGACACACACCTGTAATCCAAGGACTAGGGACGAGGTGATCAGTCAGAAGTTCAAAGTCATTCTTGGCTACATGTAAGACCTTGTCTTTGAAAATAAGACAAAATAAAAGCCAAATACTCGTATCCAAGACAATAAGCTGTACTACTAATGGGAAAAAAAAGAAACAAACAACATGGTCTAAATAATCTCAGCAAAAAAGAATAAGAGGGGACGGTTGCAGTCATAATATTCGGGTAAATATTTGAAGTCATAATTAAGCATTTGAAGCAAATTATAAGCCTATTATATTAGTCTGTTTTGTTACTGCAAGAACATACCAGAAACTAGCTCCTTTTTTTTTTTAAACAAAAGAGTTTCGTTTAACTCACAGTCCTAGAGGTCCAAGTTATGGAACAAGTATCTATTTGGCTTTGGTGAAGGCTTCATGGCAGATGACATCATAATGTGGTACTTGGAATGATGGAAGAAACACATATGAGGAAGTGTGAGTGATTACATGGTGAAACAAGGTAGAAGAGGCTGAGAAACTGTCATCTATCTATCTATATCTATCTATCCATCCATCCATCTATCCATCCATCTATCTATCTATGAACCCATTCTTTCGGGAACTAATCCAGGTGTATGAGACTTTCATTAATCCTTTACAAGGTTAGTAATTTATCATCTAAATATCATCTATGTCTCATTTTCTTTTATTTTCAATAATTTATCTTTTATTCACTTTACAACCTGACCACAGCCTCTATTCCTCCTATCCTTTCAGTCCCAGTCTTAGAATTCCCCCTCCCATTGCCCCATTTCCTTCTCTTCAGAGAAAGGAAACCCCCTTGGCTACCACCCACCCTGTGATATCTAGTCCCAGCAGGACTAGGCATGCACCTTCTCTCTCATTGAGGCCCAACCAGGAAGTCACGGTAGGAGGAAGGTGATCCAATGGCAGGCCCCTGTTCCACTTGTTAGAGGACCCACATGAAGACAAAGCTGCATCAACTTGGTGAACCAATGAGCTTTAATAGGGATATAGGAATATGAGTGACGGGTTACATATAGTAGTAGAAATGACTTGGAGACAGCTGCATCACAAAAGCCCAACCCAGCATGGGTTATAGCTCTCAAAGCTGGAAATCTGTAGTACTCTTCACAGCTGGCAGGTACCTCAGCAGCTTGGAGAATATCCTTTCCAACTGACTCAGTTGGTCTAAACCTCTTTCAGGCAGATTAGCTGTTTTCTGTTTTGTTTTGTTTTGTTTTGTTTTGTTTTGTTTTGTTTTCCAGGCAGCTGGTCTGTGCTCATGAGTCTGCTTTGCAGATAGGCTTGTCTGAGTTTTCTTTGCAGCTTAGATAAATTAATCTAAGAGGAACTCTCAGCTTACTCTGGCAGGGAGGAGCCTAGTGGATCTGCTCAATTTCAGGGGCTTTCTGAAACATTTTTTAATCTTCTTGCCTAATGAGCTTCTCTGCAGGATGGAATGTTTCAGTCTCAGAGAAAATTGTTACACCATACCTGCATTCAAGTTCCTGCCTTAAGTTTCACTTTGACTTTCCTCAGTGATAGACTGTTACCTGGAATCCTAAGCCACATAAACCCATTTTCTCCTAAAGTTGCCTTTAGTCAAGGTATTAGCATAGCAATAGAAATTAAACCAGAACAGTTTGCATAGAAATAAAAACAAAAAACCAATCAGACTTCTTGTTTAAGATAGTGAAAATCAGAAACAATGACACACTATCTTTACTAAATGATAAAGTCAGTATGCTTAGATTTCATATTCAGAAATATAAGACTCATTTATGATTTTTAAAGCCAAACTGTGAAAATTACTGTCAATACACCTGTGGTAGTTTGACTACGCATGGCACCATAGATTCATGTGCTTAAAGGCTTGGACCACATGTAGTGACACTATCAGGAGGTGTGGCTTTGTTGAAAAAAGTTTGTCACCCTGAAGACAGCATTTGAGGTCTCCTAAGCTCAAGCTTAGGTGTAACAATTTTCTTGCTGCCCACAGATCAAGACGTAGACCTCTTGGCCCATCCAGCACCATATCTTCCTGTCTGCTGCCATGCTTTCCACCTTGATGATAATGGACTAAACCTCTGAAACTGTGAGCTAGCCCCAATGAAATGTCTTTCTTTATATGAGTTGTCATGGTCATTGTCTCTTGACATCAATAAAACTGTAACTAATACACACCTGTAATACAATAAATATTAAAAGTCCTTCGAGTGGGAGAAAAGTAGTGGCACATTGAAATGACAATATACACAATAAAGTGAAGAAAGTCAAAATTGTGAATGTGTAAGTTAATCTCAAATACACTTTAAAATCATTTTAAGCAAAGGCACTTGCAATCCAACAATGCAAGCCTGATGACACGGCTAGAGCTCAGGTAAAGATGGAAGTTGGGTTGGAGAGATAGCTCAGTGGTAATGACTTGTAACTCTAGGCTCAAAGGCTCTTATGCCTTCTTGTGACCTCTGCCAGCACTACTCACACAAAGCATGCATATACACATGCAGAGAAACACCCATAAATATAAAATATAAATACATAAATCTGTTAAGAATGTGAAAAAATGAGTCAACTTCACAAAGTTGTCATCTTATGTTCATATATGTGCTATGAAGTGAGTGCTCAAATACACATCTATTTCTCTCTTTGTCTGCCTTTTCCCAGACAAAAATATTCATAAATAAAAATACTTTAAAATCTTCTTTAGAAAATATGTGTTGCACTTTAATCAACGTAGAATGAAAGTTAAGAAAAAGTGACAATATGAAAATGCAAGGAGATTGGACATCCATTGTTGTAATCTGATGTTATATGTGAGGTGGTATAATGCTTTATAAAAGTGTGCTATGACACATTAAAAATGAGTATTTTAAAACCAGGAGCAACCACTTAAAAGTAGAACAAAGAAGTCTAGCTAATAAGCCAATGTTGGCTATGAGATACAATCTTAAAATGCAATTAAGTAATACAGGAAAAGGGGAAAATGGAACAAAGATTAGTTGAGTCACAGCTGAATAGCAAAACAATAGATTGAGCCTAACTGTACTAATAATTACATAAAGTCTAGTTAAAGCAGAGAGACTGTCAGGCAAAATGAAACAAAACTATTATATGCCCTGTTATATGAAGCATACTTTAAATATACAGAAAAACAGGTTTAAAGTAAAGACATAACATTATATACTGCACAATCACTATGTTCGAAAACACTGTAGGGGCTACATTAATATTAGATTTGTTATGTTTAAATAAAGGAATGCTGTTCCTTTAGTTAATTCAGACATAGAAGATATTTCACAGTGATGAATGAGACAACCTGTTTATCAGAAAGACAGCATTCTAAATCAGGACATGTCTAATAACAGAGCCTGAAAGTATCATACAAAAGCACAGCAAAACTAAAATGAGGATAGACAAATATATAATTAATGTTGACAATCGCAGTGGCTCTCTCTATTATATGTAACAAGTAGAGGAAAAGTTAAGTTAGGAAAAGCCTCAAAGACACTTTATGCTAACTTGCACAACTACGGCAGACAGGAAACTTGTGTAGCAAATGGACATAAATTCATTTCAAGTCTTTGTAACACCAACTAAGATGTAGGTGCTGATTTAGACTCTTTAGATAATGTGCGTTTGGACTGGAATACCCATCGAAGCCAGGAAACTGGTAAGGAGACTATGGGACGATTTCAAGGGAAGGGGGATAGAAGGTAGGAGGTGAAGAGAAGGAGAGGGTTAGTGGAACAGGAAGGGTTAAGTGGGATGGGGATGCAGTACAAGGTAGCAAAGGAAGTAGGTGGACAATGACTAACACTGAAGACTTGTGGGAAAGCCACATGGAAACTACTGTAGAAGTTTCCTAAAAGCTACACATATACAGATACAGTTTAAATGGAGCTTCTCTAAAATGGTGATGGAGTGGGGACAGTGCCTCTCTCAGACAACTCATAGTATCAATAAAAAGCCCACTGGAAGGTATGGGCTGCCAATTTTCTAGTTTTTGGCTAATGGGCATCTATAGACTTCTCCCTCCCCTCAAAAATGAAAGGCTTTCATTACAATCTAAAACTCCTTGAGCTTCATCCATGTTAGCTATCTTTCTTTCAAGGTGGTAGAAGGTTTTATGGATGCTACCAGGGAGAGATATAATCATCAGTTTTAGTTGTGAAGACTGAGGGCTATAACTGGCCTGAGCCCTCTGACTGGATTTTAAGCCTATTCTACAAGATAAAACTCATGTCTGTATATTTAACTGGGTCCCCAAAACTATGAATTTGCCAGTCATGGGCCCTACAGAAGAATCTGCTATATGGATTAAACTGACTCTTAATGATTTACTTATACCCATAATCTAGTGCATCTTTCAATCCTCATCACAGATACTTCTTTTTGTGGTAGATGATGATTTATACAAAGACTCAGAATTCATCAATATGCAGAGAATAAGAAACTTTGGAGTGCTCATCTCTAAATACAACATCTGTGTTATATCCTTTTCTTCAAGACTCAATGATCAGTGAAGAAGGGGAAGAAAGATTGAGTATAAGAACCAAGGAAAAACAATTAATTTGCTTTGCTGGAGAAGATAGCATGGTTGTACATATAAACTCAGTGGTTGTGACTACATACTCAAGACCTTCACCAGATCAAGCCAGGCAAAATTCCAACACAACAGGAGAGGAACTCCCCTAGCTGAGGCGATACTGGCAGCTGATAGGGGGTGGGGCAGAATCAGTTCTTCAGGGATGTGGCTCCTGAGAGACTCCTGCTTCAGAAGATGATATTATTGCCCATGCACATATAGGCAGCATTAAGTGGACTTAGTGGGTTAATAAAGGAGTATATGAAGTTGGGAATGATAAGGAGCAGGAAAGACAAGGAACTGGACGAGAGGGAATGGGAGGAATATTTGTTCAAAACACATTAAAAAGCATATTTGAACTTCTTAAACAATAAAACATTGTCTTCCCAGGGAAGATCACACCAACTGATCATCCAATACTAAATGGTCATTCCATACATACAAGTAATACTATACACTGAGCAGGTTGTATGTATCTATGAATATAAATGTATATATATATATATGTGTGTGTGTGTGTGTGTGTGTGTGTGTGTGTAATAATGGAAAATGAGACCATGAATTTGAAAAAGAAAAAGGAGGAAAAGTGGGAAGGCTTAAAGGGAGGAAAAGGAAGGGAGAAGTTATATAATTATAATCTCAGAAATTTTAAAAATTAGAATAAACAACTAATAGAAAATAATTTTAAAACAAATATATTTTAAAAAGATTCATATGGCATATACTGTTTTCTAATATTGTATAGAATTAAATTAGAATTCAATAATAAACATACATGGAAAAGTCCATAGATGTTTGTAAGTTAAACAATACTTTTAAGTACCTCATGGGTCAATGCCAAGTCAAAAGAATAAGCCGAACATGGTCTGGCAAAGAAGTATGTTAGTCCTTGGGAGCTAGTGAAACAGCTCAATGGGTAAAGACATGTGGTACCCATCCTGGCTGCCGAGTTCCACTCCTTGGATCTAACTGATAGGAGGAGAGAACCCAGTTCTGCATAATTCCTCCCACCTCCACAGTTTGTGCATTCATACAAGACAAATAAATGTCGAAAATACTCTTATAAAATATGCCTATTTTTCTAGGTTAATATACAAACTCAAACAGTCTCAATTGAAATTGCACAAGCTTTTAAAAATTCAAATTAAAAAATCTAATTTAAAGTGTATACAGAAATACCTGGGACAACCAAGACTTTTGAATAGGAAAAAAGCAGGATATACAGGCTTACTGCAAATCTACATTGATCTGTACTATAGGGCTCTGAAATATTAGCATACATATAAATCACTGCAAGAGAATGCAGACTACAGAAGTAAATGAAATACAGTAAAGCATTTCCAAGCAACAAGGGCAAGGCATTTTAATCCAAAAATTGTACTTTAAAAATTTTATATCGGATACTTTCCTTTTTAACTGTGAAGCTGTTATAGTTCTCTCTGGGCATTAGACACCAGGTACATCAGTGACTCACAAATACTTTTTTTTCTGTCACATGGCTCTTTTTCTTTCTCCTTAGTGACTTGAAAGGCATGAAAGTTTATTAATTTCAAAAAATTTTATTTATTTCTTTGGTTGCATTTGCCTTAAGTGTTGTATCTAAGAAGTTATTGGTCAAACCAATGTCATGCAGACGTCAAATCATCATCAGACTAAATGGTAAACAGATGAAACTCCCCCTCATTGAATACTTATGGCAGACCATTGGAAATCAGTTCTTCAAAGGCTAAGGCTTTATCTCTAGGCTGCCAGTCCTGCCTCATTGGTCTACACTTTACTCCCTTTTATAGTTTACTTCAAACCTTGATATATATATATATCTGAAACTGGGGTTTCTGAAGGCTGTGATGCTATCAGACATGGGTGCTGAACTGAACCTGGTCTTCTAGAAGAGCAGGGAGTGCTCTTCACTGCTGAGCTGTCTCTTCAGTCCCATGTAGTGCAGTTGTGATGATTGTAGACTTTGATTTGTAGAAGGTCTTTTAAACTGGGAGAAGCTAGTCCTCCAACTTTGTTCTTTCCCAAGTTTTAAGGAGAAGCTAGTCCTCCAGCTTTATTCTTTCCCAAGTTTTAACCATGTTAACTTTCTTTAAACAAAAATATCACTGACTGTGTATACTTAACACACACAAAATGATACACGTCAATTCATTTGGAAAATAGCACATCTACCAACACAGTGCTGGCGTTTCAAAATATTTGCAACAAATCAATACAACTGAAAAGAGGGACAACTCTACAGTCAAAGCATAGTTTATTGGAGATCTCATTTACTTTATCTCAAAAATGATGAAACAATTGGCATGAATTTTTATAGACAGAAGAAAAAAAATGAAATGTTAAAGAATAATAAAAAAGAAGGTACAGTTTTTTTTAAAAAAAACCTAAGTTTTCATCGGGCGGTGGTGGCGCACGCCTTTAATCCCAGCACTTGGGAGGCAGAGGCAGGCGGATTCCTGAGTTCGAGGCCAGCCTGGTCTACAGAGTGAGTTCCAGGACAGCCAGAACTACACAGAGTAACCCTGTCTCCAAAAAACAAACAAACGAACAAAAAACAAACAAACAAACAAAAAACCCCAGAAAACTAAGTTTTCCTGTTACTTATAAACCTTTTAAAATGACAGAGTAAACATTAATCATTTCTTCAAAGGTTCATGGAGTTTGCAGTGATAGAACATTTTTTTTTAAAGT